AAAGGTAAATAAACATATATTCCGGTCTCCATGTTATGTTTACACCCTAAACTTAATTTTTAAAGACCTTGCACAAGAATTTTACTGGTTGATAGATACATACAAGAAAGGAAAAAGAATTGTCAAATATTTTCTCAATCACTCTCAAGTCTTGGCTATGTTTAGGGAAAACTCCAACTTCGAGTTGTTAAAAGTGGCGACGACTAGATTTGCTTCACACTATGTTTTGTTAAAAAGATTAGTGGACTGTCGAGAGGCTCTAGCTACTACAATCTCACTTAACTCGTGGAGGAATTGGGTTAAACAAGGTGACAAAATACCAGGAGAATCGGGCTTAGTGTGGTTGAAACCATAAGAAGTGATGAATTTTGGGAAGCTGTTGACAGTATTATTGCCATAACAAAACCAATTTTATAATGATAAAGTTTTGTGATGGTGAAGGTCCCAAAATGGGAGAAATATACGAGAGAATGGGCAATATGCTAGGAGAGATAAAGATGTGATGCAAGTTAACTAATATGAGAGAAAAATGACCATTCCCATACATTTGTCTAGGATTTGCATTGAATCCACGATTTCATGATAAACACTATCTTCAACAGTTAGCCCCAGGTGGAATACCACGAAAAGCTCTAAATCTTGACCAAGAAGTTGTAGTAGGTGTGATGAAAGCATTTGAAAGAATCGCTGAAAATGAAGACGAAGAACGTGTTCTGCGAAAACAGTTTGCAACTTTTAATATGAAGAAATGACTTTATTCCATGGCAGCAGCACAAATGGACGCGGTGACAATGGAACCAATCGACTGGTGGTCAAGTTATGGTTCAGAAACCCCAAAATTGGCAGATGTTGCTAAAAAGGTACTATCACAGCCTCAAAGTAGCTCTTCAGCAAAGCGGAATTGGAGTACTTATTCATATATTCACAATGTGAAGAGAAACCGTCTCAATTGTAAGAGGTTGGATAAATTGGTTTTTATTCATTCAAATATTCGGCTTCACTCTCGTTTCTCTGAAGAGTACAAATCAGGCCCGCACAAAAAGTGGGACATTGATCCTGATAACACAAACTTGGAAGGTTCGAATACAAGATTGGAAGATATGCACTGGGAAAATTTAGTTGAAGAGGTTGTTGATAATAGGAACGGAAAAAGACAGAGGAAAGACTAATTTTGAATGGTTATGTGACTCAATTATTTTGAACTTTTTGAAGTTTTTTGTCTAATGGGTTATGTATTAAAGAATTTTTATTGAATATTTAATATTGTATTATTATTATCAATATAATTTTGTTGGAATTTAGAGTCTTAGAATTAATGATTTTTTATGTGGTACATCGTACCCAATCGAACCGAAATGAACTTACCCCCTTCGTACCGGATTTTGGGGACCTAACGAACCGCGAACCCGTTCCCGTACCGGAGCGAACCCCGTTCCGTGTGACTATGATCCAAACACTTCCAACCAAAATGCTTCCAACCTATTTGCATTTTTCGGTTACGATTCGACATCGCCACCACCTTAATTTCCGGCCACAAATGGATCCATCTCAAAACCAAGCGTTTGTTGGTGGTGTTCCTAGCTATTATTCACAATTCTAAATGTCACAACAATTCCAATTCCAATCCCACCACCCTGAACAACATCTCAAACCCAAACGCAAACTCAATTCCAATTTCAATCTCAACCATTTTTCACACCCTCAACCGAAACTCTTTCTGATTCTGAGCCCGAAGAACAACCTCAACACAAAAAAGCAAAGGCTGATCCAAGAAGATGGAGTAAAAAAAAAGAGGCAAAATTAGCCAGGGCATGGGTCTACATGTCAGAAGATAGCAACATGGGAAAGGTCCAATCGCGTGATCAATTCTGATTATGTGTTACAGAGCAGTTTTGTAAGGGTATGGGTCGAGACCCAAATTACAGGATGTCTGAACAATGTAACTCAAAATGGAATCTTGTTAACAAACTCGTGACACATTGGAACATAATTTACACAAACTTCGAAAAGTAATAGGCTAGCGGCGAAAGTGAAGCGAGTTTGTTGAAAAAAAAAACGCACGCGACATTCCAAGATGACATGTTGAAGCCTTTTAAGTTCATTCATGTGTGGGAAGTTGTCAAAAGAAGCATCATGTGGAAGGAGCTTACAACACATGAAGACATTGCCAATCCGCTAAAAAGAAGTCGAACATCTTCATATTCGAGCTCACAACAAATATCATCGACTGGTCACATTGGCATTGATCTTAATGATGATAACGAAGACATCAGAGAAATACGTCTGCCTCCTCGTCCCATGGGAAGGGACAAAGCAAAAGCTCAAGGAAAAGGAAAAACGGCATCATAAAATTCTTCAGTCGGAACGGACCGATCAACTAGATCGGAGGAAATGATGGAACAAATGGCACAACTGAATACAAATTTAGAGAAACATATGACTGATACCGTCCGACTAACAAAATTTTCGTTGTTGATGCAATATTTGAGACACCTCGACCCCGAAGATCAAGAGGCGGCTAAAATGGTGAAGACTTCGATTCGTGAAAAATATAAGCTCAAACGCAATTGAAATTTGGATGTTATGTTTTTTTTCTAGGTTTTATTTTATTTTTATTTTTCACTTCCTTTTTTTTATGTTTTATGTTTTGAATGAAAATTTTAATTTCATGTTATTCTTTATTTTTAGGATTTCTAAAATGTAATTTTTAATTTTATGTTTTTTTTTTTAATTTTAGTATGGTTTTTATTAAAAAATTGAAATTAAAAGAAAAAAATCATAGGTAAAACCATTACGACATTCTAGTTCGTAGGTAAAATTTGTAAAAAAAATATAAAAACTGATGTGGCGCCTAGATTACACCCTTTAACCATTGACAAAAAATACAAGACACCCTTTAGCCTAATTGTATCCCTGTAATCTTTTTAATAACTCTCTCCGTTCTGAAATTATTGTCCAGAAGCAAAAAACACATAGATTAAAGAAACATTAATTATCATTAACTTTATGAAATGAAATGATAATTATACTCTTTTGTTGCATTTAATTCTATGGTAGTTGCATTTAATTACATTGTAGTTTTATTAATAATGAATGATATTTTGGTACAAATGATATTTATTTTTAGAAGTGAACAATTATTTTGAGATAAAATCGGCTAACTATTTTAATGCATGCAGCCATCTAAGCTATTTTTAAAATATTAGATTATTACTGTAATAAAGTAATTTTGATAACTATATTTAAGCACATTAACCATCTATGAAAGAATAAAAATGGTTGTAGGTCAGTCTTACCCGCAGTAACATGTAATTATTAATACTTTAATGTAACAACTAGGTTATGTAAACATATTTATATAATATTAAATTAATGTAATAAATAAATATTTAATAAATAAAATTATTAACTAATAATTTATGTGTTTAAGAATCTAGAAACCCCACATGTGTATCTGCCATTACAACCGCTTTTTCAAATGCTAAAGATAATGTCTTATTGTCCTATGTCGCTTACAGAGTCTTTATTGTAAAGAAGGTTGATAGCCTTTGTGGCTTATGTTACAATACAAAATAAATACTTAAATGAGTTATTATAAAACTATTTCTAATAGCTACCTTACCAATAAATCACATGGTTAAGATTATTTATTTTTAAATTCACTTTTTTGTAAGTTTATTAAATGCAATAGTCATCAAAAGTTAAAAAAAAAAAAAACTGATTGTATATAATAGTTTTTTGTTATACATAACAGTAAACTGTTATGTTTTAAATTAATTATACAATATAAAAAAGCATAATATTATCATTTATTATAAAAAATATGATATATACGAATCAATTCTTAAAATTTAAAATTTAAACTCAAAACCAAAAATATTTATTTGCATATATAATTCATTAATATAATTAATTCGAATATTAGTACTTCTCCTTGGCCTTTGGGAGATGGGAGGTGGTGTTTAAAATATGTATTATGACGAACATGCATGTTACATTTTTTTAATTTTTATAATCACAATTTATTGGAGTCAAAAATTACTTATGATATCACTCTACATCATTACTAACCCACATTAACATTTATAATGTGCAACACCTGAAACGTGTCAAAATCAGCATTTTATTTTTAATATTATTATTTTTATTGGTAGGTCATGCAAACTTTATAAAAGACAAAACTTTATTCGGTTTAAAATGAATTTCTAGCATTTTTTATATATCGATGGTCACACAAAGCCACTATACGTTTTTATCATTTATTTATATATATAATTTATACTATTTACAAAACAACTGGTTTTTGACGCATAATTTTGTTTTTGCCTCCAAAAGCCTACCTTAAGTTTGTCCCAAGGCGACATTATCAATTTTAATCGTTTTTATTCACACTTTAATCGAATACATTATGTATATATTTGTTCCAAAAGAATTGTGAATGAAGCAAAGAATCATGGAATTGTGCCGTATGCAATATAATATTTAAACCGAAATTATGTAACGCAAACTTTTCTTTAATTATAAACTTATAGCTAAACGTTAATTTTGAAAGTATTATTCCCAAAAAGAAAGCTATTTGAATATGTTCCTTCCTTGTATAATTTGTCTTATTATTTTTTATGTTATTTTCGTTATACATCAAAACTTCACTTGTATCATAATGTTTTAAATACCTTTCACTTTTTTTAGAAAGCTTTGATTTCTCTTTTAAAAAAACAAAGTTACGTGTACCATTTATAAGTATCGATATACTAATGTTTTTAACTTAAATAATCAAATCAAATTAAGAACTTAATAATCATGATAATATTAATATTAATATTATTAGTGACAATAATGCCATCTACAAGAAAGACCCATTACAATCATAGCTCTTTGTACCCATAAATCTTCATCTTCCTTTGTTCACAAATCTTTATTCCACCCCACCCCCACCCCCACCCAAGCTATCACCAAATCTGATTTTTTTTTTCAAGACTTTTAGGAGATTTACATCTGACTCAGTACTGAATCATGTCTGCTGAAGCCATAATAGGCTGGTTTGCATAGAGGTAACTCAGTGAGTTATTCATGAACTCGTCGACAAACTCAGTGCCACCTCCGCCGCCGTATTGCTCGTCCTCAAACCCACAACCGGTGTCGACAGGTTGGTACATAAAAGCGATCATCTCGTTCAGAGACTGTAGCCGGTGGCTGAGCTCCGCCACCTGAGCTCTCAGAACAGAGTTCTCCGCCTCCACGCTTATGTAATGCTGGGTGGTGATACTGACGCTTGATATGATCTGGTTGTTCTCTTTCCTGAGTTGATTCAGCTGACTCGTGAGATCATCCAGATGCTTTTGCTTCCTCTTTCTAGATCTCCTTGCAGATTCACGATTCGAAATCATTCTCTTCTTCCTCCTCTGATCCATCAATTGCTGAAGATCTTCTTCAGACCCCGAGTTCTGAATTGGGTATGAACCACCTGATGATGTTGTCGTACCACTAGAGGAAGCCATTTGAATACCTTCAAGTTTGAAATTGCAGATTCGAAGAGGGAAAATGAAGATTTTAAACAGAACACAGATGGTAATAGAGCTTCAAATTGATTATTATTATTTAGATTTATCTATCTATTAGATATATATAGAGATATAGATGTAAATTCGTAAAAAGCTAGTTTATAGTAATCTAGTAAGGAAAAACAGAGCAATAATCATGAAATGTAATAGAACCAGTAAAGGAAGACAACTGAAAACGATTGAACTAAATGTGTCCTGCGTCTATATGTGGAATTGATCATAAACCCAGAAAGAAACAATTCACTGAGAATTTGAGACATGTATTTCAAACAACAACAACAATAGATTGCACATTAATGTTGATTTTCTTATAACAACACCTAGAATGAAAAGGAGAAAAACGGAAAACAAGAGGAGAAATCGAAGGGAAAGGAGAACTGGGAGAAGGTGTTAAGAAAAGCCTCAACAAGTGATGAAAGAAGAAAGTGGTGATCTTAATGATCTGAGAAGGAGAAGAAGGAGAGGGGGAAGAGGCTTGGGAAGGATTGTGGGGTGGATTTATAGGAAAATTTGCAGAAAAAAGGCATCATTGTGGAAGATCTTTTTAAAAAATAAATCAAAATTATATATAAAAGGAATAATCACTTTATTTTTCAGCAATGGTGACATATTACTAGTCTACTACATTATTGACATTTTACCTGAATTTTCTTTTAATAATAACCAAGCGTTTTAAAGTGTTTGTTTATAAATGAAAACTGAAACGTAAAATATCATCAAATTTTTACAAAAGTTATTAGAGGCAAACTAAGATGTTTTAAATTAAAATCTTATATATGAAGATACCGATTTAAGTATAAGGTTGTTTGTATTTATTTCAAAATATATATAATAGAGTTATAATATATTTAGTGTGTTACATTACTATATATAGAGCTGTTCGTTATTTGGATAAAACTGAATTGTCCAATTGAACAATTTAGATTTGACTATTTGGTTCGGATATTCAAATTTTTGGATTGGTTTTTAACAAAATCGAATTATTATTTTGGATTTCGAATTGGTTTGGACGTTTTGTTTACAAAATAAGAACCGAATAGTCCAAAAAAACCGAATAACAATTTATTGTTAATTTATTTCTAATATATATCTATAATTATTTATTAATTTATTTTTTCAAATAGATTCAAAAAGTTTTACCTAATAAAAAACTTTAATATGTATTTTATTTCAAAAGTTTTTATCTATATAATATTAAACGATAATATATATTTTTAGTAGTTCTTTTTAAATTTTAAACCGCAACGAAATAATTTGTTTTTGTTTCTTCTATAAAGTTGACTAGTATTCTAATTATATATGGTTTTAAAATGTTTCGATTTTTGAAAACCGAATTATAAAAACCATCCAACTGAGTTGTACTTTTGTTGGATCGGATTTGATTTGAATTTAGTTTGAACTATTCGGATCTACATTTTGAAAACCGAAATTAATTTGGATTCACTTGATTGGATCGGATCGAACCGATCCATCCAAACGAACACCCCTAGTACTCATACATAATTTTTTTTAGAAAATAATAATAAATTATCATTGTGTGCACAAAATATCAAAGAAAGTATTTTATCCAACGAATATGGCTCGTAAGTAGATATATGGACTCCCTAGTGATGCTTGCACTATATTTGTGAATGATGCTTGCGAAATTAATTTATGTATGCGAACTTGAAGTCTTTATGATGTTATGTGTGTGTTTTATCACTCTCATATATCTTTCTATTTAATAAGTTTTATATCGAGTTTTGATCTTTCTAAAATTGTTGGCTAAGTAATATAAGATGACCTAGAATGGTGATTATTATTGTGAAGACAAAGAATGACAATATTCCATTCTTATTACATTCTTGATGTTGGCTGTGTTCAATGGACTTCTAATATTGCAGTGAATCATTTTCATCTAAGATGTCCAATTATATTTTTAAAACTGTGAAAGATGTTGAAAAAGACTAAGAGAAGGACTCGGAACAAAGCCAGGGAATTAACGCACGTAAAGAGGATCTCACTGTGGATAAAAAAAATATGAATTGAGTAACTGATATACGGAAAGAAGAGATTGTTGGTGCCGATATGGATATTTATGAATCCATGAACGGAATATTTAAAATGTTCAATAGAATTATGCACGGTTTTATTGATGGTGAATAACCATTGTATTTTTATAAATTTCGGAATTATGGGAATGAATGTAGTTATTTTATACTTAGTTGTTAATTAATATTACATATACTGCATATTTAACCGGCATTTTTTTATAAATGGTGCAAATGTATATATATCATCATAGTTCACAATGCTGAAACCTCCAAAAAATTTAAAATCAAAAATTTCGTTTTCATAATAATAAAACCATCAACCCAACATGTTCATAAAAACATAAAGGAAAATCAGAATATGTCAATCAATCATCCCAATACATCCAAAATCAAATAACACGGAAATCATGTTGTGTGCGATGCGATCACCCCGAGCTCTTCCCCTTCGAACCGGAAGTACCTGAAACATAAACTGAAAACCGTAAGTACGAAGCTTAGTGAGTTCCCCAAAATACATCACACCATACATATCAAACATACAATGGGCCATGTCCAGCAACCATCCGGAAAATCTTCGCACTAAATATCATCAAACAATACCCTAATTAATAATTAGGTCATAAACCATAACTGGGGGTCCCAACTCATCATCCTCGGTAAAAGACTATTTTATATTTTCCTTACTGGGCCCAACTAGCTTGGCCCAATAACCCTATAGTGGCCCAAGGCCCAAAAATGACCCAACTCACAAGCTAAGGTCCAACTATGGCCCAACAGATGCAAAGCCCAAAATCCAGCTAAGGCCCAAAGCTCAAAAGAAGTCCAAAAAGGGCCCAAAACAAATAAGAGCCTACCGCTTGGTGTAAGTCCAACGTACCCCATACGTACGGCGCGCATAATCTACGTTGACTAGAAAGCGAGCTGCTGACCCAGTACGCACAACGTACTGTAACGTCCCGAAAATAAGACCGAAAAATTTCATTTTTAAATTAATAAAACCAATATCCCAAAACATCATCATAAAAATCAAGATAAAATAAATGTATCAATCATCATATCATATCAGAGTAAAACACAAAATGCGGAACGAGGTGGTGTGTGCTCTGCCATCATCTCAGGCTCTTCCTTTTGGAACCTGAAGTACCTGAAACATAAACTAAAAACCGTAAGCGCAAAGCTTAGTGAGTTCCCCAACATACTACATACCATACATAAACAAACACATAACGGGCCCCGCCCACACTCGCATAATGGGCCCCACCCATTGAGTATAACAGGTCCCGCCCAAACTCACATATAGGGCCCTGCCCACTGAGTATAACGGGCCCCGCCCAAACTCACATAACGGGCCCCACCCAACATACAAATCATATAAGCATATACATATATAAGAGTCACACAGACATCTAGTATCCAAGCATAACTGATCATAGGCCGGTATTGGTGCCTTAGACCTGCTAAACATGGTGATGAAACTCACCTCGCACTGTTGAATCTCACAGAAAGATCTCTGGCTACTAGCCTGCTAAAATCCCTGTGCTATCACAAAATAACATCCAATTAATAATTGGATCCCGACTCACAATAAGAGTCCAAACTAGGGTAAAAGACCTTTTTACCCTACCCCTAACTTGGCCCAAGGACAAGGCCCAAACCAAATGTCCAAAGAACCCAAATTCCAAAATAATTGCTCAAGGCCCAAATATGATTGGGCCCAAACTCCCTTTATGGGCCTTCAACCAAGATCCAATAAAACATCCTTAGCCCAAAATAGCATTCTGATGGCCCAACAAGGCCCTAATCATCCATAGTCCAATCATGGCCCAACACCATGAGCCCAAACCTTCCGAAGCCCAACTTCTGAGTACTTGGGGCGTACTCAGCTCGTACGCTAAGCGTACTCACATAGAGGCTTGTACGCGCGACGTACCAGCTTGTACGCCCATCGTACTCCTCAGCTTTGCCAACCTTCCTTATTCAACACTTATTCGGTTAAAACATTAACCCAAAACCTAGATCTATCCTCCCTAAGGTGGTTTATCACGTAAAGTTGCCAACTTTATGTGCATGCATGGCTTAATGGGGCTTTAGAGCTCAAAAGAGCTTAACAAATGACTTAACACATGCATGAGACCAAAACCACCATAAAGTTTGCACCTTTATGCTAAAGAAGCCCTTAATATGCATAGATCTATAAGGATAAGCTCCAAAAACGTCCTTAGCTCACAAACCAACCAAAAAGCCAAAAACAAGCCAAGGAAATAGATCTACAAAATGAGATGACAAGCTTTGAACTTTATGCCTCAAAAGCCACGAAAAGAAGGTGCTAAAGTTGGATCTCTAAGATTCCCTCCAAAGTGTAACACACCGATTTCCTGGATGTGGAACTTGAGAATGTTATGCACATTATAGGACCTACTCGACGAGTTGGATGGCCCCAACTCGTTGTGTAGAAGCTGAGTTGGCCGCAGGGGTTTAAGAACCAACTCGACGAATTGAAAGGACCAACTCGACGAGTTGGAGCTGAATGAGAAAACCCTAATTATTCGAGTTTACACCCTATTTAAAGGACTTTAACTCCTTTAACCCAACCCCCTCATCATTTTATCACTCAGAGAAAAACCCTAATCGAGCTACTTTCCTATTTTGAGAGTGTATTAGGCTAAGAGAGTGTATTTTGGTGCATTCCTTGAAGGAACATGAAGAGTGAAGAACTTGGAACACGAATGAGCCTTTAGATCCAGCGTTCATATAGTTGCAGCATCCATATGGAGGTAAAAAGTCTTTACCTTGGCTTACCATTTCTTAGATCTCTTCTTATGTGAGTTTATGGGCATTTTGGTGCAAAATGAGGGCCACAAGTTAAACTTGTCCAGAGGGTGTAGTTGCAGATCTGGACTCCTT